GCACAGGTCCGCGTGCCTGGCCGCCAGGCTGTGGGCGGGCGCCCCGCGGGCGCGGCGGCCGCGGCCGCGGCGGGCGCGGTGCGTGCCCGCCCCGCAGCGCTGCGCGGCCCTCACCTACGCGCACGGCGTTGGCAGCCAGTGCGCCAAGGTCCGCGACGCCAGGTGCGGCGCGTCCTCCTCCTCCTCCTCCTCCTCCTCCTTCTCCTCCTCCTCCTCCTCCTCCTCCTCCTCCTTCTCCCCGTCCTCCCCGTCCTCCTCCTCCTTCTCCCCCTCCTCCTCCTCCTCCTCCCCTGCCTCCTCCTCGTCTCGTTGTCCTGGCCCTCCTCATCCTCCTCCTCTTCCTCCTCCTCCTCGTCTTGTTGCCCTTGCAACGGGCCCCCCCTTGCAGAGGTGTGGCGCGTTCTGCCGCACGCACTGGCGTGGTCTTCAGGCCGGCGTCGGCGATGGACAGACTCGGAGAAAGCAGAACAGCACAAGCACGGACCTTCGACGTTCCGCGCGGAGTTCTTGCATCGGCGCCTGGGCCTTAGGGAGGGAGGGTCCGGCGCAGGTCCCAAGAACTCCGCGCGGACCGCCGAGAGTTTCTGTTGGTGCTGTTCTTTCTTCTTCTGCAGACGTCGCCAGCGCGGCGGCGGACGTTTGAGGAGCCGCAGCTGTCCTGGGTGGGCTGCGACGTGTGCGGCAGGTGGTGGCAGGTGTCCGAGTCCTTTATGCGTTTCCACCAGGGCGAGGTTCCATTCAGTTGCGGCGACCTCGGCGAGCGCTGTGGGGGCCTCAAGCGCCGGCGTTCCGCCCCGTCAGAGCCAGCACGGGACGATGCAGTGGCGCCGCCTCCACCTAAGGCCGCGCAAAAATCAGCCGCGGTATGCTCATTGTGGACGCGCTCGTCCTCGCGCTTGCATTTACGAGGACGCCCCGGCGGCATGACGCTGCCCACACCCTTCATGTGGGGGACGCGACTCCCTGGCCTGCTCGGGGGGGGGGGGGCTGGGACAAGGAGAAATCCGTTCCAGAGCGTGCTGTGACGCTCTGGAGCGCTCCGAGAAGGCCGCGGCGCCCGATACATCCTCCAGAACTACCAGATGGGCGACGCAAGAAATCGGAGTCGTCTGCACCGACATTGGAGAGTAAGCTGCTCGCGTAAGGTCGCGCGTAAGCGCCTTCGTCTCCATCGTGGCGTGCCGCGCTGGCGGCCCGCGTGAGCCGCCGCGTAAGCTCGTTATGGCATCTCGCGCAAGACCCGTTGCTGATCGTCGCCCAGATCTCCGACGTTCCCGTCTTACAGCCAAGGCTCCGAAAGAGGGACCGCTTTGGGCTCAGGAGGGGCTTCGGTTCGATTGCATCACACAGTTTGCATTACATACCTTGCACCACGCAGAGTTCATCGCATAACCTGAAACGCTCACACATGTATAGATCTACTGGACCATGTATAATGCATCTCGTTGCTTGCAATGGACCGCTTGCGCCACACAGCTTGCATCGCATAGCTTTGAGCGCGTGTATAGCACATCGACATCGAGGGTTCAAGAGCCTAATGTTCTGGGCCCACCCTGGCTATGTTTCCCCCAGTCGACCTGTGGAGTTGTGTCTTCGTTTTGAGTCCGCAGTGCCTCGTGTCCCCTTCTTTCCTCCTGCTCCCTCCCCTCCCTGCCGCATGCCGATTGCGGCACACCTCTCACATGCCTCGTGGCCCCATACGGAGCTCCACCTGCGGCCCTGTCGAGGGAGCCTTCCGGCGGCACAGCGCCCATGTCGGCTCACCATGCGCTTCGTGGCCGCATGCGGAGCTCCACCGACGGCCTTGCCGAGAGCGCGCGTGTGGCAACGCCGCGCCCATTTCGGCACACCCCTCGTGCGCTTCGTAGCCCCAGTGGGAGCTCCGCCCACGGCCCTGGTGAGGACGCCCGTATGGCGGCGCCGCGCCCATTTCGGTTCACCCCTCACACGCTCCGTGGCCCGGTGTGGAGCCCCACCTGCGGCCTTGGTGCGGGCGCCCGTCTAGCGGCACCGCGGCCATTTCGGCACACCCCGCACACGCTTCCCAACGGGAGCTCCGCCTACGGCCCTGGCGAGGGCACCCGCATGACGGCACCGCGCCCGTTACGGCACATCAGTCACACGTTTCGAGCCCCCGAGGCGCAGGGAGGTCCCCGCGCGGCCCGCATTGTGGTTCGGCACGCCCGTCACACGTCTCGTGGCACCAGTGAGAGCTCCACCCGCGGCACCAGCGACGGCGCTTGCACTGCGGCGCCGACCTCCCTTTCGGGAACCGTCTCTCACACTCTTCGTGGCCTCGCAGGGAGCTTCACCCACGGCCCATGTGAGTCAGGAGGGGAAAAAACACACAGACACAATTAATCGTCGATTCCCAAGAAAATATGGGGAAATATGGGAAGTGGGGGGGAAGACAGAAGCCCCGAAAATATGGGAAAATATAGGGCATCTTTTCATTAGTGTGTATTTATTTGTGTCTCCCAGGGCCCCTTCAGTGAGGGCGCGGGCGCACACCGCCTCATTTCGGCACACCCCTCCAACGCTCCGTGGCCCGCAGTGAGCTCCACTGAAGGCCCCGGTGGGCGCGGGGGCGCATGCAGCACCGGCTGCTTCCACTTCGGCACGCCCCGAGCACCATCCTTTTCGATGCGAGCTGCCTGTGGGGGCGGGCCGCGCTTGGCGATGCTCGCAGCTGCATGTGCTTCACAGAAGGTTTGTTTTCTGGACGCGGGGCACCCCAAAACGTCATGTGGGACGCCAGCGCTGCGACCAGAACGTGGGGATCTGGACCTCCTACGGAGTCTCACACCTCTCAGCGCAGACAGCTCGGATGGACACGAGTACACTCCGCTCGCTGCCTCGCAGCACTGTGGCGGATCTGTTCCTTTTGGGCGCGACCAGTGTGCATCTGCGCGCTGTGTATTGCTCCTGTGCCTTCGATACCGATGCGCACCCACGCGTGCATGACACTCCGTGAACGAAGTCTGAGCATGCAGTTCGTAGCCCGTACCTTCTTTTCGTGTGCGCATCATTACCACGTGGCGTAGGGGCACATGCAGTACGTGAACCATGCTGGCTAAGTCGGGATATTTAGGGCTCTTTCGTGGACATCTAGGGCCATCCTGGATGCTCCAACGCGACATGAAACTCTAGTCCCGACCCCAGGAGATGGGGGTCAGGGGGGTGGGTGAACCCCTCCCCGAAGTGAAAGAAGGAGGGGGTTGGAAGCAAGAGCTTCCTGAATCACCTACGTTGAGGACCTCTGGCACTCATTCGACCGCCGTGATTATTGCCCGCGGTCATCGCTCGAGCGCGAGTTCTGGGGTACCCCCTCTGCTTCGAACGTCGTGGTTCAGACCGGACCCTGTGCAGCCCGACGGCTCGCGTTCGAGTCGTTTGCTTTCTGTGACGATCGCGCGAACGGAATTTCTGAGGTGCCCCCCTGGTTCGAACGTCGTGGTTCGAACCAGATTTCGCGCAGCCCGATGGCTCCAAAGTATGACTCTCGGACACCGTGAGGCCCCGTACATGGGGTCGACCACGACAGGTGTGGTCAAGGAAAATGCTGAAGCACACAAACAATGAACGCTTGCAAGCTAGCATCAGTTGGACAGATCTCGAAACAATGTCGACAAGAACCTGGAGAGGCGCAGCGAGGCAGCACAGCCGAACGAGCTGATCTGTCTTGACGGCTCCTGTGTGTGCGCACGCGCTCGTCGATTCCGATGGCTCGAACCTCGCGTTCGAGCCTGCCACCGTCGTGCTGTCACCATGGCCGCCGTTGTTCTGTCTGTTTAGGCCTCTTGGGGAGCCTCGTGGGGCCTCCAGGGGGCCTCCTGGACTCTTGGGGGCCTCTTTTTGGAGCCTCCTGGGGGCCTCTTGGGGCGGAAAGCTCGAACTGGTGGTTTGTGCTCCCCCCCTTGGGTGCCTCTTGGGGCAGTCTTGGGGCCCTCTTGAGCGATCTTGGGCGCCTCTGGGGCTTAGTGGGCCCTGGAAACGACAGGGCCGTTTTTTTACCGGTTCCGTTTTGCCGTTTTTTCCCCAGTACCGACGCCGTTTTTTTTGCCGGTTCCGTGGCCGTTTTTTACCGGCTCCGGCTCCGGCTCCGGTTCCGATCCCGGAGTTGTTTTTTGCCGTCCGGGGCCCACAAAGCTCTGGGGCCGTTTTGGAGCCCTCGTGGTCTGGCGTCCAGGACGGCCCGAGCACGAGGGGCCTCACCAGGGCCCCCCTCTCTAGCTGCGAGGGCAGGGCCGCCAAGAGTGGACCCCCCCGTGTGCACTGCGGCACGCGGCCCCCCGGATCCACCTCTCGGCCCGCTCGCCCCCCGCGATGCACCACCCACCGAGCCACAAAGGGCGCCCTCGAGGGCGCGAAGTTCTTCGCGCTTCGCGCCTCGCGCTTCGCGCTTCGGCTCGGACTCCTCCTCAGCCTCCTCTTCTCTCCTGGGAGGCGGCGCGAGAGCGCGACGTTTGTCGCACTCCGCGCTTCGCGCATCGCGAAGCGCGAAGTTGGGAGCCCTTGGAACCACCCCCACCAGCCCGAAGGCCCCACCTTGTCCGCCGCTCCCAGTGTTGGGAGGGGAGGGGGCGCCAGGGAAGAGGAAAGCACACATGTGAAACCCACAACCTCCCAGCCCGACATTTGGGTCTTCGGGTTGGGTTGGGGTGGTCTGGGAGGTAGGCTGAAGTCGGGCATGTCCCCCCACAGGAGGAATATGCAGGAATGGCAAACCATAGTCAAAGAACAATTGTTCGTGGTCTTTGACTCTTGCTGACAGTTTTTGCGTATTTTCTATTTTTCCTCCCAAGTCCGTCTCTAGGAGGATACAGTGCCGTTTTTAATACATGCTCCGCGTGCGGATCATGTATTAAAACATGCAGGGACTCAATATTTTTAAAACATTAACCACGTATTAAAATCCCTCGTTCTTAAAACTCCCATGTATTAGAAACTGCCCTGTATGCCCGACCTGAAGGCAGTCAGTGATGCCTCTGGTCGGCCCGAGCTCGCTGCACGGCCGCTCCAGCGGGCGCGCCGGGGATGCCGGCCGGGGCAGCCTAGGCCGAGGCCCCCCCCCCGCGCGGCGAGCCGATGGGCGCTGCAGGGCGCCGGGCCTCAGCGCGCGCCGGTGGGAGGGGGCCCCGCCGCCACACACTCCAGGTGCTTTGGGGGCCTCCTCCCTCGCATCCTCTCGTCATCCTCACAGCTCCTCCCCCTCCACCTCCTCTCTCCTCCTCTCTCCTCCTCCTCCTCCTCCTCCTCCTCCTCCTCCTCCTCCTCCTCCTCCTCCTCGTTCTCGTCATCCTCACAACTCCTCCCCATCTCCTTCTCCTCTCCTTCTCCTCCTCCTCCTCCTCCGCCTCCTCCTCCTCCTCCTCCTCCTACTCCTCCTCCTTCTTCTCCCTCCTCCTCCTCCTCCTCCTCCTCCTCCTCCTCCTCCTCCTCCTCCTCCCCCTCCCGTGCAGCTGCACCAGAGGCGCGGCAGGCAGCGCGCGGGCGGCGGGCGGCGGCCGGCGCCGCGAGCGAGCGAGCGCGCGCGCTGCTCCTTCCTGTCCTCCTCATCCTTCTCATACCCCTTCCTATCCTCATTACCTATCCTCCTCATCGTTCCCATACTCCTCCTCATGCTCCTCCTCCTCCTCCTCCTCCTCCTCCTCCTCCTCCTCCTCATACTCTTCCTCATCCTCACCCTTCGTGTCCTCCTCATCCTTCTCATGTTCCTCCTTCTCATCCTCCCCATCCTCATTACCTCGTTGTCGTCGTCCTCCTCCTCCTCCTCCTCCTTCGCCTCCTCCTCCCCTGGTCCAGGCCGGCCAAGATTTGCTCCAGAGCTAACCGGCGCTAGGTGAGTGTCCCAGCTGGTGGTCGATCTTTCAGCGCCAGGTTCGCCTGCGCCCGCAGGGCCGTTACCGATTTCGGATTGGCTGGGGGTGCTGGACCTATGAGGATCGATATCGGCGTCGGGGGTTTGTCTTGCGCACTCCGCTTCGGGGTGCGGGTCTACCGCGACGAGACCCAGCGCGCGAGTGTGGGTAGCAATGCCCGGGTCTGCATGTGGGGGTGAAGGCAACCCTTTCAACATCCAGCCTTGCCCGTACACTTACCCCGATCAATGAAAACACGGGTCGTGCCTCCAACCCTCCCGACACGTACGCGGTGGTTCGTTTCGGATGCAGGCGGCCCGTTGTGGTCAGTTCATCTAGAGGTCTCAGAGTGCCAGCAGAGGGGGAGCCTTCTCCCCAGTCCTGAGGGACGAGCCGCGCGAGAGTGTTGGAGCACGACCGTGCTGGAAGGTGTGGGCTTGTTCCCCGCCGAGGCTCTGATCAGGAGGGCCCCGATCTGCCCTGCGGCTCCAGCCCTCGAGTTTCCCTGTCTGCCCCTGATGCCAGGGTTACGTCGGGCGTGTCCCCCTACAGGGGGATTTTCGACGACAATGAAGAATGCCCCAAACATACCCCAAAATGGTCAAGGATACTCAAAAAATAGTCCCCCAGGCTATGTTTGGATTATTTTTGGATTATTTTTGGAGTATTTTTTATTGTTCGTCAAAAATCCCCCGGTAGGGGGATGTCAGTCCATGGCCAAGGGATTCGTCAGGGGGATGCAGCGAAGTTTTGGCAGCGAAGTTTTGGCGATACTGCCCTCGCGTCGCACCGAGCAGCATGGAGAGCAACGGGCGCTTCGATGGCTGCGTCTCCCTGAGGGCGCCCCTGCAGGATCGAGTGGAAGGGAAATTGCTGCAAGGCACCTTCCATATGATTTCACGCATTCGGTATCCAGGCCCAAGAAGGACCCCCTGGCGAATCTCTTGGTGCCGACCGAGGTGCAAGTGCGATGAGTCCATCGTGAGCCACGTAGTGGAGACTTCATTTTATTTGCTCACTTCTTCTCATCAGCTCTGCCGTGCTCAGCTTGAGGGAGGCGCTGGCTTGGTCTCCGAGGGAGAATGCAGGAGGTATGAGGCAGATCTCCGTGGCACACTATTTCGGTTGCACGTTTCTGTTTGAACGTTGCCTTCGAAGATCTGATCGGTCGTGCGGTTCAGCTACATGATTGGTGCCGCTGTTCGATCGTAGCACCGCAGCAGGATCGTCCAGCACATCCTGGATCGTGCCTCCTCTCTCCCACTTTCTCCGTCTCCTCCCAATCCAACGCTGATTTTTTACTTTCATCTTCCTCCCACGTGACCTTCCAATCGACGAAAGACGTCATACGTAGATGTGTCATATCTTTGTGCCCTCTGCGGCGGGACGAGAAAGGAGCCCATCGTGTGAGGGCCCCTGATGTCGGAGCTGAGTCAAAAGCTTTTTTGGTCTGGGTCACATTTGACGTGCTACACGCTCGCATAGCCGCAGAGATGTATATACATTCAGTACTCCAGATGAGCAGGGGGCAGAGGCGGCTTATGTGGTTAGGGAGGAGGGCGATACGAGGAAGGACACACGTTGTATTGATACGACATACGTATGCGCAACATTTGTTCAGATGAATACGTGTGTATATACATATAGCCATGCATATTCTAGACGCTTCGCGGAACTCCACCAGCCCATCCAGAAGCGATGGCCAGACGAGTTGCCCTGATCAGGGATGTGGAGGAGCATGCAGTGGAAGAACGGGCCCGGTCGGAGGCGGAGTAGGGAGAGGGGGAGGAGGGAGGAGGGAGGAGGGAGGAGGGAGGCGAAGGAATAGGCGGATGCGGAGGAGAAGGATTAGGCGGATGCGGAGGAGGAGGATGATTAGGATGATGACGATGATGACGATGATGATGCTGATGATGATGATGCTGCTGCTGCTGATGATGATGATGATGATGATGATGCTGATGCTGATGCTGATGCTGATGCTGATGATGATGATGCTGATGACGAATATGAAGATGAGAAGGATGAGGAGGATGATGATGATGAGGAGGAGGATGAGGAGGAGGAGGAGAACGAGGGCGAGTAGAAAGGCCAGAGGCCTCTTGGATGCCTCTCGGAGTGTCTTCGGATGTCTCTCGAGAGCTTCTTGGAGTCCTCTTGGGGCGTCTTGGGGACCTTTTGGCGGCCCACGGGGCATCCTGGTGCGTCTTGGGTGCCTCGGGGGAGCTTCTTGGGGCCTCTTAGGGGAGCATCTTTGGGGACCTCCTGGGGGACCTCTTAGGGGCCTCCTGGGCGCCTCTTTGGCGCCCCTGGGAGCCCTCTTGGAGCACTCTCGGGAGCCTTGGGGGCCATCTTGGGGCCATCTTTTTGGAGTTCGATCAAAGAAAGGGAGTGGTATTAATTAGGGCGCCCTCGAGGGCGCGAAGTTATTCGCGCTTCGCGCTTAGCGCTTCGCGGTTCGGCTCCGATTCCTCCTCTTCCTCCTCTTCTCCCCTGGGAGGCGGCGCGAGAGCGCGAAGTTATTCGCACTTCGTGCTTCGCGCAGCGCGAAGCGCGAAGCTGGGAGCCCTTGTATTAAACTGCCCCCCCACAGGAGGGCCCAACACCTTACTACAATCCGTGATTTGTGCCTTCTCGTCGAGGCCTTCTTGGACGCTCGAATCGGTCGCGACCCCTCCTCTTCAGACCCTGGGAGAGGGCGTAGGGTTAAGTCGGGCCTGTCCCTCTACAGGGGGAATATTCAAAAATAATTTGGGGACGATTTTTCTAGCATTTTTTTGATAATTGTTCGATATTTTGACTATTTTAATTTTTTCCTCGGACATCCCCCTGTAGGGGGACAGGCCCGACTTAAGCGTAGGGGGAGGGCTGAGCCCCTCCCCGAAGGGAAAGACGGGGCTTGGAGGAGGAAACGCCCTAGGCCACTCGCGCCCTGAAGGGATGATGATTCCCAAAGCAAGCTTTGCATTCAGTGGTTCTTACTTTTGAGTCGGGCCTGTCCCTCTACAGTGGGAATGTTCAAACATTGTCCAACAATAGTCTGGGGACGATTCTTTCCATCATGTCTGAGTACTTTTTGAATATATTTTGTGGTTATTTTTCAGAATCCGCCTGTAGGGGGACAGGCCCGACCTCATCTTACCCGTCTTGCGCAGAGGAGCTGCATGGGCTTCCCAGGCCCTCTTCGCCACGCTGCGGGCCCCCGCCGCCTCTCAGGAGGACAAGAAACACACAGACACAATTAATCGTCGATTCCCCGGAAAATATGCGAAAATATGGGAAGTGGGGGGGAAGACAGAAACCCAGAAATATGGGAACATATGGGGAATATTTTTATTTGTGTGTATTTATTCGTGTGTCCTTGGGCCCCTTCAGCCTCGCCGCCTCGCCTCGTGGGCGCTCCGCGCTCGGGCGGCCTCCCGGCGGTTCTCCGCCGCGCGGCGGGCCCGTGCCGCCTCGTGGGCGCCTCGCCGGCGCCCCGCGCTTGGGGTGAAGTCGGGCACGTCCCTGTGCATGAGAGAGATTCACAACATAATCCAAGAGTAGCCTGGCGACGATGTTTCTATTATTTCGTCGCTTCGCTCATTCCGCCGGCCCTCGAGCGCTCCATGGGGCCTCTTTGGAGCCTCTCGGGGGCCTCTTTGGGGCCTCCTAGGGGCCTCTTGGGGGCCTCTTGGGGGTCTCTTGGGGCTCCTTGGCGGCGTGTTGGAGCCCCCTTGGGCCTCTTGGGGGGCTCTTGGGGGCCTCTTGGGGCGGGGTAGTTGAGTGCACCCCCCTCGGAGGCCACGATCCTCGTGAGGGGTGTCGGAAAAAGGCCCTCAAAACCATCTTTGGGTAGACTTGGTTGGGCTGCGGTCGGGATACTTTTCGCCGGGGGACCCCCAGGGGCCGCCCCGCGCGCGCGAACTAGAAATATTGTTAACCAGTTACCCGAGATCTTAGCACGCCTCTGGCCCGTTGGGCCGGCGAATTTCTTGACTACGTTCGAGTATGTTTTGACCACTTGTCACTTGTCGTCCAGAACCCGCCCGCAGGAGGACATGCCCGACCTAAGCTTGGGGGGGTTCCCGGGTTTTGGCCACGTTGCGGGCCCGTGCCGCCTCGTGGGCGCACCGCGCATGTGGGGGGGCACGTCGGGTTTCACCACGCAGCTTGCACCAGAGGTGGCTTCCCGAGAACCGCCCGCGACCCACCCCGCGACCCACCCACGACCCCCCCCCCGCATTGCTGTGACGAAGTCGGCGCCTGCGGCTGGCGCGCTGTGTGATGTGTAGAAGATCTGCGCTTGCGGCGGGCTGGTTGGCATTTATTTGCCTTCGAGCTCGCAGGCCGCCGACGACCTCCACGACGCCCCCCTCACTCTCATACTGCGGGCGGCTATGGTATATCCCGAGGGACGACTCCGGGGCCCTCCGGCTGGGGGGAATCCCAGAGCCTTCTGTGCGGGTCCCGAGGATGAAAGAGTGCGCCCAATACCGTTAGGGGGGAACTGATTGTCGAATGAGGCTAGGACGAGGATAAATCCGTTCGAGAGCGTTCCCGAACGCTCTCAAAGCGATCTGGAATGCTCTGAGAAGGTCGCTGCGCCCGAGACATCCTCCAAAGCCGCCGGATCTCAGAGATCATCGATTTATCCTCTCCCGATTTTATCCTCGTCCTGGTTTCGTCTTAGATTGCGGGGGTTCCGAGAGGCCCAAGAGGGCCCCCAAAGAAGGCCCAAACGGTGGCGCCAGCAGTGTGGAGAGTACAGTAGAACCGAGGTATAAGATCGAGGTCGGTTCGGGGAGGGTGCCCTAAAGTTCTTCGTGCTTGTTGGATGTTCTTGTCCTGGGGAGGGTACCCTCGGATGTTCTGTTTGTTTTGGCCGACGGAGGGTCTCATGTTCTCGAGGGATGCTCTGCTGGCCTGGGTTCGACTGTAGGCTCCCAAGGAGAGGCCCCGGGAGCGATCCCTCGCAGGACGTACTTACCAGAAGTTCCCGACAGGCAAAAGCCAAGGACGCCTCGTGAAGTTCACAGGGTGACCCCAAGAGGGTTCCAAGAGGGGCCCGAGAGAGGGCCCCGAGAGGACCCCAAGACCGTCCAAAAGAGGAACTCAGTGAAGGCCCCAGAGCCTTCGGACGGCTCAGGGGGACGCAACACGGTCCACGAGCGCCCCGAGACGAGCCGTGATGCCTCCAGGACGGCCCCGACACGGCAGGAGAGAGCCCCGAAGCGGCCACGAGAGATCCAATGGAGGAGGAGGAGGAGGAGGAGGAGGAGGAGGAGGAGGAGGAGGAGGAGGAGGAGGAGGAGGAGGAGGAGGAGGAGGAGGAGGAGGAGGAGGAGGAGAGGAGGAGGAGGAGGAGGAGGAGGAGGAGGACGAGGAGGAGGAGGACGAGGAGGAGGAGGAGGAGGAGGAGGAGGAGGAGGAGGAGGAGGAGGAGGATAGGGAGGCCCTCAGGGCGCTCCAGAGGCCCAGGGGAGGTTCCCCAGCATGGCCGAGCACCCCGAAGGAAGGCAGCGGGCTGCCACAGAAAGCCTGCTCGCGGAGGTGTGTGCGCGGACGAATGCCGCGAGACACTGCCCTTGCGTGGCCAGTTTCCACACACAACGCGCTGATACGAACTACATTCATCAGGAGTCTGACGAAGGAGCATCAAGGTTCACGGACACCGGATTTCGTCCGAGGTGACCAAGAATTTGGGCTGGGCCCTGGGCGTTGTCTTGGAGCTAGTTTTCCTCGTGGAGTGTTCGCAGCATCTGACCCTGGACTCGGGGTGTGAGAAGGACGCTTGGAGTGGCGTCCATTTCCTCAGCGCAGGACTTCCTTCACTCTAGGTCGGGGCGTAGCCTGGCGAAGAGCCCAGCCCTCTGAATTCGCGTGTGCAGCGCCAGGCGCAGCTCGCGATGCTGCGGAGAGAGCGCCCTGCGTGGAGCTGCACGTGTGCCACGGTCCACGTGGATGGTGTGCCGAAATGGACGCGGCGCCGCCATACCGTCGGACCGAGGTATGAGATCGAGGTCGGTTCGGGGAGGGTACCCTAGTGCTCTTCGCGCTTGTTGCGTGTTCTTGTGCGCCCTGGGGAGGGTACCCTCGGATGTTCTGTTTGTTTTGGCCGACGGAGGGTCTCATGTTCTTGTCTTGAGCGTTCTGGAGGGATGTTCTCCCGGCCTAGGTCCGACTGTACTCTCGACGCGGCGCCGCCCTGAGGCCGTGCCCACTGAGACCGTAGGTGAAGCTCCATATGTCGCCGCGCCGTGTGTTCGCCGTGTGTTCCGACGCGCGGCCTTACGCCTTGGGGAGAGCGCCTCGATCACCAGGGCAGGCTCCGTCTCGGACGGAAGGTTTGCCGTGGTGTCGGCTTCGTTTACCTGCGCGTGTTCAGAAGAATCGGCCTGGCGACATATGGGACCACGAAGCGGCGAAGGGGGCGCGCCGAAATGGAGATGCGGATATCGGCGGCGGGATGAGGAGGAGTGAGAGGGAAGGTGGGAAGGAAGGAAGGAAGGAGGTGAGGTGTGGTGAGGCGTGCGCGGCGCTGCAGAGTCAGAGCGAAGACCAGACACCACAGGAAGGTTCAGACAGAACGGATCGTTCCACTTCGTTTTGTCCACTGGCTTGTTCCGCTAGGGTGCGACTTTTTGAAAACCGCTCGAT